TTGATCTGGACTAGGCTGGGATGTTCTCTCAATGTTCAATTGCTCTTTATATAGACCTCTTCCTTATACATATATGTGTTCATGAATTTGTTTTTCTAGTCTACCCAGCCTAACACAGGGAGCATCCCAGGGCACGTGAGATTTGATGCTGTAAGAAAAAAGGTGGTTGTCAGAGAAAAAGTATAATTCACTGCCTACCAGAAGCATTCTCTGGCACCTACATTTTGTCCAGGGCAGAGAGAGCGATGTCTGGGAGGGAGACAGGCACATCTGCTATGTAATCTCTGTATCCCTGAGTTTTCACTACAAGACGATGTGAAAGCTGGAAGACAATTTCAGGGCTGCGATTTAGAGAAGCATTTAGTATGTCAAGTTGTAGGTTAGTATGCCAACCTGTAGTCCAGGAAACAGAAAAACTCCTTGGGACTAATGAGCCTGAGAATTTATTACTAGAGATTGAAGAAATCAGAAATAATCATTCAGGTCATCTGAGTAAGTAAACAGACATGGAGAAATCAGATCACCTGTTCTTGATATATATACTAAGAGAAACCACCTGACATCCTGAGAGCAAAATAGGGACCCAGGATCTACAGTGGTAACATACAGGAGCTCAAGAATCAGAGGCAGAAGTTAAAGGAAAAAGGAGAAAGTTTGTTCTGCAGGACAAAACCCATATTTAAGTGTTGGGGCATCGTAGCCCTGTCAAATGAGTTGAGTCTGCCTCCGACTCCCATCAGAAATCTTGGTCTGCAGGCTGGCAAATCCTCTGTAAGTGTTAGCCTGTGTACACCAATGACAAGTGATACCAGGTTTCCAGCAGTTTGGCACTCTGAATCCTCAGGACCAAACAGACAAGGAACCACAATCCCTGATCCTAATGCTAACGCTAACTTTCAATGGGCTATTCCCCGAAATCTAGAACAAATGCCCAAGGCAGAGGGAAAGAAATATATACCCCTTAGCGGTTTCTCTGGTTCACAACCAAGAGCTGACCCAGGGTGGGCGTTTGGAAAGGTTCAGCCTCCGTCCTGCCTGGTGCTGGGATCAGCTCACACGGCTCCTGTGTCCACAGGGCACAGAGAAGACATTGTCCATAGGCAGGATTATTCTCTACAAGAACCTCAGACAAAGGGAGAGGTTGTTTCCAGCTGCCTGGGGGAGGTGAGGAGGGGGTGGAGAGAGACCAGCCTTGCACTGGGGCATTCCTGCAGAATTCAGCTTCTTCTCTTCGCCAGCACAACCAGAGATGCCCTCCACTTCAGTCTTAATGCCAACCCCTCCCCAGAACCCAGTATGAAGTCCAGAGGGGCACTTGGTGACAACGTATCGATCTTGGCTAGCTAATGGCAGTAATAGACACCAGAGAGAGCAAAGAAGCGGGGTGATCAGAGCAACGAGTAAAAGGGAGGCTTCAGCAAGGACTGAATCCCAGCATTAAGGCTCAATCAACTAGAGGAGGAGGGATTATAGGCTGACATTGATTCACAGTTCAGTAAGCCTCAACCTTTAGCAAGATGAACTCTGGGCTGTTGTAAGGTCTTTAAGTTTTGCACAAGTGCTGCTTTTTTCTGCATCCTAGATCCATACTCTTTGCCCAGGTGCCCCAAGGATAGGACAAAGTACAATTTCTAGGCAAAACAGGGCAGTCAGAAACAGGAATACTTTGAGAGTGGGAGATTTTACAAATCTTAAATATGGAGCCCTGGTGGCTCAGTGGCTATGAGTTGGGCTGCAACCTGCATGGTCGGCAGTTCAAAACCACCAGCAGCTCCTCAGGAGAAAGGCTGGGCTTTCTACTCCTGTAAACAGTTACAGTCTTGAAAACCTACAGGGGGTTGCAATGAGTCAGCACTGACTGGATGGCAACCAGGTGGGTTTTTTAGACTTTTAAATCTGAGCCCATATGCTGTCTTCAAGGAAGGAGGGAAAGCTATCCATCCACCAGTGTGAGGACGATGTTAAGTACAGGAGCTAGAGCCTCCTGTGAGCATTTACCTGGTTGTATGGGCCCCACAGCTCTGGTGGTGCTATGGTGACAGCATTTGGCTGCTCACCAAAAGGTCGGTGGTTGGAATCCACCAGACACTGTAGGAGAAAGGCATGCTTCCCTAACAACGCAAGCCCCTCGAACCCTATGGGGCAGTTCTACGCTCCTACAGGATCATGACCAGTCTGAAATTACTCATCAGCAGTGGGTGTGGGTTTGGTTGGCAAAAGTCCCAGTGAGAGATGCTACAGAGGTTCTTGTACCTTAGATTTTTTGAAGGGTACCAGGGGCAGTGGAAATAAGAGCAGGCGCTCCCCTAGCAAGGAATACCCAAGTGTGGCTGCCTCCAGAAGCCGCGTCTGCGTGGGGCTTTCTACTCCCATCAGGGGCAGTTCTCGTCTGTCCTTTAGGGCTGCTAGGAGTGGGCGTCTCCTCGATGACAGTGAGTTCGGTTTTTGGTTGGGGCTCAAGAACACAAAATATAAGAGCGATCCTACACAGCAGGGCATTTCCATTCTTGAAGGACAAGGAATTCGTTTCAAATAGTATGGAGGGGGAAGAATTATTAGCCTAGAGCCACCAAGCAACTAGAGTTGGTGCCGCTCACGGTGAGGGAATCTTTTGGTGGAGTAAAGGAGAGAAGTCTCCAAGAAAGCCCTCGGGGCCGAGAGCAGCACGCTGCACCCTATGCAGTATAGTCAGTTGTGCCATCGCCAGTGGCAGCGGCACACGTGACAACACTCAGGCGGGCTAACCGAGGAGGACGAGCAGCTCTACGTGGGAGGGACCATTTGCCCCACTCAGCGGCCCCTCTGCACTGCTGTGTTCTGTGCGGGTCGATGAGCTTTGTAGACACCATTCCTCCTCTTGATGGAACAGAATAGACGTGGCATCTGGAACCATTGGTCCAGCCCTTTGCTGCCACAGTCTGGTGGAATTCTGCCTGGCACTGAAAAAATGCTAGCCAAGTGCTTCCATGTGGTGTGAAAAAGGCAGCCGGAAGGTACGAGCAGAGGGGAAGACATAGGACGTTCAGATCAAAGCTAATTCAAGCTGAGAAAACTCTATATGGAGGACAAATTAGTTACCTTGCAGCACCCTTGAAACTGCCTCTGATCATTATACAGGCCTCTCATAAATAGCTGTCACACAGCCCTGAGTCAGTGCCCATCAATTTAAGTAACTTTCTTTATTCAGGGAAATCAGTTGGCCTCCTTCAGCTGCCTTAACCCGAGTCCTTGTCTACAAAGGAGATTGCAGCCAAGGCTGAACTTCACCCTCTCTCTTCTCACTCTGCATGAAAGCCAGCAGGTCTCGTGGGCTGCTTCCTGGTTCTGGCGCAACAGGCTCAGTGGAATAAAGTCATCTTGGGTCAAGCCCAGAAACCCATGCTGAGAACAATCAGATCCTGTAAGAATCTGGTCTACCACTGTCGGTTCCCCCTCCCCCTCTCCCGCCTCCTCCAAAAGAACTTAGGCAAGGCATGTACTGAAAAAATGGCCCTTTCTCCTCCAGCCCTGGCTGGCAGAGCCATTTCTTGAGGAGTCCCCCACCAAATGGCCCTTCCACATCTTTCTTCATGTACATGGGGTGAGTGGGGGCTGGCCACAGTAAAGGACAGGGGACTCTGTGGATACTTCTTAGAGTAGAGTCAAGCAGACCCAAGCTTCACCAGAACTCCAGGTGATCAGCTGGTCCCAATCACAATTCTCTTCATGGAAAGCAAGGGAGACTGGCCAGGAGGGGCCTGCAGTGAGCATCCAAAGGAGAGGCTACTACATAAAGTAAGGACCGGCTCTCAAATACAAGTGAGAGGTTGCAGGAAGAATTACTTAATACAGCCCTTCTAGCCATAGTCTTTGGGACTCCCACGCGGTAATTGGGCAAGACTGTGCAAATGAGGTATATGGAACCTGTGATGGTTGAAGGTTGGGATCATCCTGACGAGGCCTGATTGTCAGCACTGTGTGATAGTCCTCCATTTTGTTATCTAATTATCCTCTATCTTGTGTGCTATAAATCCTAACCCTTATGTGTTAAAGGGGCAAGATTAGGTTATGCTAATAAGGATTGATTTAAGTTTAAGGAGCCCTGGTGCTGCAGTGCTTACACACAGGGCTGCTAACTCTAAGGTCAGCAATGTGAAACCACCAGCACTCTGAGGGAGAGAGACAGGGCTCTTAACCCCCATAAAAGAGTTACAGTCTCAGAAACCCACAGGGGCAGTTCTACCCTGTCCTATAGAGGCTTTTTAAAAAGTTTGTTATGTTAATAGACAGGATTAGAGTAGGTCACATTCAGGTCAGCACCCTTAGAAACAGCATACCTTTCACAAGAGCAACAAAGGGACAGATGTGCGCAGAGAGCAGGGAATGGCCTTCCACCAAGAAGAGAGGCCCCGACTACCACCCTCTGGACTCAAGGTCCCTGTGCTGGGAACCTCCTAGACCCAGGAAAGAGTTGAAACACGGGAGGTGTGAAGCAGTAGCAGAGAACAGCAGCAGCAGCAGAACTAGGAGATGGTGCAGTGTCTCAGCCTATAGAGTAATAGAACCAAGTGCCTTTGGGCCAAGGCTTACTGGTGAAGTGGGGTGACTGCGCACTTACCACTGGAGCTAAAGAACTTTGTGACACTTGCCTGAGAAGGGCCCACATAGATCCTGGATTGCTTCTGATTCTAAATTGCAACCGGTTACTTCTCTGTTATATAGAATCTATGATCGTGAGTATTTCCTCTGAGTTGTGTGGCCACTGCAACGAGTTACTGAACCCAGTAGAGTGTGCTGTGGAAGGGATGGCCGTGACAAAACTGGCAAGAAGGCGGGAGAGAAGTGAGCTGACGTCCTCTTCAAGGAATCAGCCTTGGGCTGTTGATGGTGGGGACCCCATCCCTTGTGGAGTTAGAGGAGGAAGTTTGATATTGCCGTCATGCCACGTTTACAGGGTCCAAGATCTGGTGTCCATCAGATTCGTGCAAGTCCTGGATTACAGACTGGGAGCGCTACTGGGAGAAAGGGCTGCAGAAACTATCATTTATTGAATACTCATTAGGTCACGGACTGTACCAGGTGTTTCACACTCATATTCTCACATTAATCCTCACCATAATCCCGAGGTAGGTGTTACCACCCTCACCACCCACATCCCTGTTACAGGTTCAGATAAACCAGGTAACCTGCAAAGGACAAACAGCTAGCCAGTGATGTGGAGGTTTGTCTGTTGCTGCACATCCATGTTCTCTTTATTGTATTCATCTACATCAGCTCTGCCAGGAGTACCTGGAGGGAAGGTTTCTGGCCACACTCACCGCTGGTAGGGATGCATTGAAGCTGACTTGATGTTAGTTTTTATTCCACTTGGCATTTTTCCTAAAAGAAACAAAGACACCTGAAGCAAGGTGGACTGTCATGATAAATCAGTAACATGGTCTCTCAGGTTCTTTCACTGATTCCTCTACCTTTTTAGAACCTCTATAACAAACACATGACCCGGATGGCATATATGTTAGTGAACAGAAAGAAGTACACACACCCCCTCCCCAGCTCCCAACACCCCCCCAGACCACTCCCTCCAGATGTCTGGGAAGCAGGTGAGGATATGGGGAAATAGGAGGAGGAGGAGCATACTCCAGCAGGTACTCCTGCTGACCTGCCTCTAGAAAGGAGAGCTCCACCTGTGTGGCCCCTCGCCACCATTTATTATCACAGGCAAGAGTATTATAGTGCCTTTCATTTTCATTGTCTCCTTTTTCAGACTGGACGACTGGCTAATTGCATCCACACAGCTGCAAGGTGTTCACATAACGGTGAACCCTGAGAAGGCAGGAGCTCAAAAGTGAGAGATGATCTCCCTTTGGACTCCATTTAAATCTGCTCTAGTTTTTAATATTTCCTGATTTCTTTTTGATTAAGGTTTTTCTGTTTTGTTACTGATGTTGGTTTTTGTTTTGCTTCGTTTGGGGGCATGTTTTTCTGTATATGAAATCCGAGAGAGGTAAATCTAGAGAGAAGGTAACTGGATTAATGGCTTCTTGGAGGTATGGCAGAGGTTGGGAGGAAATGGGGAGCTAATAACGAGTACAATAAATAAGAAAATGTTCTAAAATTGATTGTGGTGTTGCACAACTCTTTTTAAGATGACTGAACTATTGAATTGTATATGTGAATTATATGCCAATAAAAACCGTTGAGAGAGTATCAGAGCAAGAATACAAACAGGACAAGGAAACAGTGTTGATTCCTGCCACACTGGCCAGGCAGCCTTAGATCTGACTACTGGTTTCTGTGTCTAAGAAAAGCCAGTGCAACGTACCTCACATCCAAAGTGGATGAGGAGAGGGTATCTGAGACATAAGTCTAAAGTGGACGTGGAAGGGCAAGATCAGTCCCTGCTACTCAGTGCTCGCCCTTGCTCTCAAAATAGGACTCTTACTCCCGACCATTGTGTTCTACATCGTGATACAAAGGCAAAAGCGGAGGAAAGCTCCACGTCTGCAGATACTTGAGGCCTTGGTAAGCCAGTTTATTCCACTTTCCCTACTCCAGGGGAGCTCCATTTCGACCCTCACACCTTACCTGGTTGACCTGCTTGGCCCATTTGCACTCCACTGAGCATGGACTGCTGCTGGCCTGGAGCTCCTGTCATCTGCACCTGCTGTAATCCCGAGGCTCCTGCCAGGATTGTCCCAGCTCCTGGTTGGCCTGGCTGGCCTGGACCACTGCTGCCCGAGGGTCTCCAATTAGACAGTCCTTTCCCAAAAGCAACAGCAGCCACCAAGGCATTGGTGTCTGTAGGGTTAAAGGTCTGCTTGTTCTGCCGCAGACCTGAAGAAAGCGGTAAATGAGAGACCATGTTACTGATTTGTCACCTTTTGTCCTTGGACTGAATCTAGCAGCTGGAAGATCACTGTGAGAGCCACGTGTTGGCTCTAGATGGTTAAGCAGCATCTAGATCCCCTGGCCACCAGAGATAGAGGCAGAGGAACCGCAAGCCCACCTCAGTCACCCTTCTCATTTTGCTCATTAACCCACCTGTTAAATAGAAAAGGCTAACAAATTGGATGCAATTCCTTTCCCACACAGCTCAGTCCCCTGCTAGCAAGACAATCGTTTCTGCTTCAGCGATCTTATTCCTCTCTCCCTCTCTCATTTTACCATTGACCCTACATACCGCCACTCTCCGATTCTCGCTCCTCTTTGCTGATTTTCTCCAGGAGATTCGAACACATTTTATTCAAGCTCTGGATCTGCTTCTGTAACACATGAATCGATGCAGCAATCAGAGCAAGCAAGAAACCATTAGCAGGAGGTTTCTTGTGTTACTTCAGTCTGTTTCTGACAGTTGTTAGGTACTGTCAAGTCATCCCCTGACTGGTGGTATCACCATGCACAATGACATAGAGCCATTGTGATCCAAAGGGTTTTCCCTGGCTGATCTTGGGGAGTAGATTGTGAGGCCTTCCTTCCTAGCCCATGTAAGTTTGGAAGCTCTGCTGAAACTTGTACAGCATCATAGCAACACACAGCCCCTCAGACAGACTTAGGGGCTACTAATTGCCCATCTGGGCTAGACAGGAATGGTACGGCTAAGCTTTTCATGAAGGGACTCAGGGGCAGAGGGGTACCAAGGCAGTGACTCCGTCCAACCTGAGCTGCATCGGCACCAATTCGGGCAGCATCCGTCGTCAGTTGCTTCTCCTGTTCTTCAACTTCAGGGTCAGGCTTGGTTCTCAGATGGTCAGGGACTACCTCATGGCTGAAAACAGGTACCCGCCCTTCAGTCTGCCGCTGCAATACAAAGATCACCCTACTGAGGACGCCCAGAGGACTCAATTGGGTCCCATATACAGTCCCTTCTCCAGGTCAAAGTGCATTTTCAGGGAAAACATAACCTGAAACATACTCCCTTCCTAGGGCATTGACCCTTTACTTCCATCCCCTCACACCCTATCTCTACCAAACTCTGGGACAAACTAAGCTCCCCACTACACCCCCTCCCCCACTACATTTTAATCAAAGCCTAAAATACACAAAGTCACAAAAGAACCGACTTTTGGCTGAGATGAGATGCATGCTGGAGGAAAGAGGTCTTTGTCTTGGTGACACAGCCCTCAGCTCATTACAGTAGTATTTGGGGGTGGGGAGGCTCCCCCACTTCAGAAAGACACAAAAACAAGGCTTTCAAACTAATTTATACTCAGAACTTGGAGAATAATTAGTCAACAAGCAAGCATGCTCTAGACCAGGGCTTTCAAAACCTTTTCCACTAGCGCTCCTTTTGGCCCGAGGAATGTGCAACACGAATGAGCGCTCCCAGAAGCACCTTCATTCTGCGCTTAATCACGGATTAATTTTGGTCCTTGTGAGTTCTGAAACCTTGCACTGCTGTCAGGTTTTTGGTGAACCCCACCACATTCAGACTCACAGTTTAGGAAACCTGGCTCCAGACCATAGGTTCTCAAACTTATTTGGCCTAGCGCCCTCTTTTCATGGGGAAAAAAAAAAAAAATTCGGCACGACCCCTGGCAATGAAAAGCTTTTGTACTATAGTCATAATGCAGGAAAAAGTGTAGCTTTCTGCTTCTGCAGACCCCCATGGAGCATTCTAGTGCACCCTAGGGAGCGGTAGCACCCACTGTGGGCAATACTCCTCTGGACCCTTAACCATGGTCTACAAGCATGCTGTGCCCTTCTCCTCTTACCATGAGATCTTCATCTCGGTCTGGGGACAACACCAGAGGAATGATGACTTGGTTACGGAACAGTGGTGTCTTTTCATGCTTCAAAACCTTGTTCAGAGTGTTCAACTGTCCAGAGAGCAGGGCAAAGCTGTCGAGGACAGAGGGCCTGGAGATGGTCACAAAGAGGCAGAACGTTACCACCCTTCCCCTGGGGTGGTAACCAATAGAGCAGTCTCAAAGGAGCCCTTCCAACTAGGAAAACCCATACTCACCCCCTAGAGCAGCGGTCTCACCTTTCCTAATGCTGCGACCCTTTAACACAGTTCCTCATGCTGTGGAGCCCCCCCCCCCCACACACACACACCCCGCCCCCAACCACAAAATTATTTTCGTTGCTACTTCATAACTGTAATTTTGCTACTGTTATGAATCAGGTGACACCCAAAGGGGTCGCAACCCACAGGTTGAGAAGCGTTGCTCTAGAGATTCATAGCCTGATGACTAGCCAGAGCAGCTAAGGAAACCTGAGGAGTTAGGCAAGAGGGACACATTTTCAGTGTATGACACAGATGGAGGAAAAGGGCTGGGCTGTTCATTGTTTGAATGAAGAGTGGGACAGGGGCAAAATAGTGGCCAGAGTTATTATGGTTAAAAAATCAGAAACTGGGTATGTCTCTTCCCCAGTCTGAAACAGGATCTACACTTCTAGTTGGCTAAGCCTAAAAGACGCAGTCACATTTGTGGCAACAGATCCAGCATGAATAGAGGGGAAGGGATAGGCTGAAAGAGGGCTTCCTCATCAAAAACGAGAGAGAGAGAGAGAGAGAGAGAGAGAGAGAGAGAGAGAGAAACCAGCCTGAATTGAGAAACTCATCATTTCTAATTTTCCATGGAGGCCCAAAACCAAATTCTAATGGTTAGGAAACCCAGCTCTTTCCAGATGAAAAGACATTTGCAAACTGAGTGGTTACATCACTGGAGATGTTCTACTTACCAGGAGGCCTGAAACACACACCCCCTCCCCATCCCCCTACCCCAGTGCCTTCCCCAGCATGCCCTGGCGGCCCTTACCAGGTCAGCCGGTCATACTCGTTCTCCAACTTATAAATGAAACTCCCCAGTGAGTTCTTCAGATCAGCCACTTGACTCAGCAGTGCATCTAATGATGCCTCAAGCTGCTTCTCCTCCCTCTGCAGCAATAGCAATAGGAATAGGTTGGTCAGCCAGATGGATGTGAACATGACACACAGAGGAAGACTGAGAAGCCAGGTAGATGGTGTACAATACCAGTCAGGTAACATAGGATCTCCCTAGCACGAGAGACAGGCTTGGTACTTATCTACAGATAGCATCAACCATTAGACTTTGCAACTTGTTCACCGGTCTCAATTCCAACTGATTCCTTCCTCTCACCACCTCCCAACCCAGGGCTAGTTTTTCTTTGTATTGTTGTTGCTGGAAGGCCCTAAAGTCAATTTGCCTCATAGCAACACCCTGAGACAAAGAACTTCCCACAGGATTGTCTTGGTTAATGTAAAGAAGCATGATGGTTTTCGCCTGCACAAACCACCGACTTTTCAGTTAGCAGCTGAGCGCACAACTGTTGTGCTTTCATGGTTCCTTCCCTTGTGTTCCCTAAACCAAGCCCACCGCCTTGGAGTTGACCCTGACTCACAGAAGTGCTCCCCGGGCTTGCCAAGACTGACTCTTTTACTTTCTCTCTCAGAGCAGCCAGGACGCTTGAACCACCAACCTTTCCCTTAGCAGCCAAGCATTGAACCGCTGTGCTACTGTGTTGGGTGCACCCAGCTCTCCCTCACTGAGAAACATTTACCTTCCCTAACGTCCGAGCTCCTGTCTCTTTTTTTTTTTAATGTGTCTCTGCAGCACTCATACCCTGACATCCTCTGTCCTGGAACCGGCCCCGGTGAACCTGGCAATTGTTGCCAATGACACAATCTCTGGGAGATCTGCCTATAGGAGAAGCCATTTCCGGGTCCCATTTCGCTTCCCTAACTCTTCATTTGCACTCAACATGTTACGTCTTCCAGCACCTCCTTGCTGCGTCAATGTGCACTCGGTTTATCTCTGTTCCAACACCCATGTGCCTCTTTCACAAGCTCAGTTGATCTCCATACATTTACAGAAAAACCAAGAGGTGTGAGAACCCAAAGGGGGTGGGGGGAGTCCATGCTTGTAAGCCAGGTGGCAAAAAGTTTCCTGCTTGAGGGTCTGCAAAGCTTTTCCTTTCCATTTATGGTAGTGGTTTAAGTGTTTGGCTGCTAACCCAAAGGTCAGTAGTTCGAATCCACCAGTCACTCCACAGGAGACGGATGAGGAAGGGCCTGTTAACACTTCCAGCCTTGGAAACCCAAAGTGGGCAGTGCCCTTTAGAGCCGCTGGGTCAGAATCGACTCCATAGTAGTGAGTTATTTGAGGTTTGACTCCCATTTCCCCCCCCACCTTTAGCAGCTACGGAAGGGAAGGAGGATACGAGACCGTCTTGCAAACTCGCTATGGGGCCTGACTGATGCTTTCAATCGTCGGTTCCACCCGCGGCCTGAGGTTAGAAATCGTTGCGCTCTTACTTAACCCCCTTTCTCCACGCCCCGGGCTTCTCTCTCGATTCCGATTGCGTGAGCGAACCAACTCCTTTCTACAGAGCTCGGCCAAGGGCAGCGTCCCAGCCTCCACAACTGACAACCGAGTCCCAACAATCCGGGCCCCTCCTCCCTCTCGATCGGGCCGCAGGCCCCGGCCAGCTGCAGCGCGGCACCCCTCCCCGACCAGCCTCGCGTTCCTTCACCCGCCAGCCTCGGGCTCTACCCCACTGTCCTGGCCCTCCCTCCTCACTGTCCCCTCAGCTTGTCCCCTTTCGGCGTCATTAGCCGAGGCCCGCAGGCAGCCCACGGGCCCACACGGGGCCTCACCTGCATAGCGTAGACCGTGGCGGCGGCCACGACCCTAACTTCCGGTTTCCAAGGCAGCCGGCAGGTCTGGATTGGTTGCGCCCACCAATCCACAAGCTCGTCCTGGGCCCGCCCATTAACTTCCGCTTCCGGTCGGGAGCCCTGGTAGCCGGGTCAGAGGTTAAGGGTGCACCGGCCTGCCGGGCCCCGGCCGGCGCGGGCGGGCTGTCATGGCTTCGGAGCGGCCGGAGCCGGAGGTGAGGGGCGGCCGGTCGCGGTCTGGGCCCCGGGGCCCGAGGGGTGGGTGCGGCGGGCCGGCGCGGCGGGGGCTCCCCGGGCCTGAGCGCGGCCGAGCCCTTAGCCCTGGCTGCCCTCGGCGCCGCGCCCACGGCCCCGAAACCTGACCTCTCCGCCGGCCCCCTGGGGGCTGGCGGAGACACTTCCCGGTTTGTTTTTGATTCGTGCAATTCCAGCCTCCAGTGCTTTGGGGCTCCATTGGCCTGACAGTGATGTCAGCAGAGCCTGCGTATTGATTTTCCGTGGCGGTTTCCGTGGGCAACTTGGCAGTGGCTTATTATGACGGGTTCTGCATTCCCTCCGGTCAGCCCCAGCACATGGTAAACTCGCCTTAGCGCGCAGGCTTCCCGGAAAGCCAGCTCTGGTGGGCGAGACAACCTTTGACTCGAAGGGGAAACCCCAATTCCAGTCCTGACCCTCGGACAAGTCGTAACTTCCCTGACCCCATGCCGCGTGCTGAGAACCACGTGTAGTCGACCAGAAAATGCGGGAGGTGCCCATTCGGCTCTGAGGACTACACTAGAAACTTTATCCGGGCTTGCGCAGGGAAGGTGGCAATAACCAGTCTCCTTCCCGGAAAAGGAAACCGGGAAGTGCTCACGGGCTACTCCTTTGGAGAAGGAGCAGAGGCTTAGTTAAAAGACAGCGTAAAATCTCTGCAATATGGAACACCAGTACTATATACTAGGGGAGGAGCTCGGTATTATCGAGAACTTACTAGTGGTGGGAAGAATGTAGGATGCGTTAATGACCTAAATGGTTGTCACTTAATACCTGGAAGGTGAGGTAGAAAGGGGGAACCGATTACAAGGATCTACATATAACCTCCTCCCTGGGGGACGGACAACAAAAAAGTGGGTGAAGGGAGTCGTCGGACAGTGTAAGACATGGTAAAATAATAATAATTTATAAATTATCGAGGGTTCTTGAGGGAGGGAGGGGGAAAATGATACCAAGGGCTCGAGTAGAAAGCACATGTTTTGAGAATGATGATGGCAACAAATGTGCTTGACATAATGGATGGATGTATGGATTGTGATAAGAGTTGTATGAGCCCCCAATAAAATGATTTTAAAAAATACAGCCTGCTTGGTGCAATTCCAAGCACTCTACAGATATCAGTTAATCCTCCCAGCCCTAGGAAGTAGATACTATTATTATCCCCATTTCTCCAATGGCGAGACGGAGGCACAGAAATTCAGAGTAAGAAAGTCACATGGCTAGTAAGTGGTAGAGCCGGGACTTCAAAAAAAGAGGCCTGACTCCAGATCCTGTGTTCTCAGCTATGAGTTTTATAGCACAGATAATAAAAAGCAGTCACGGGGTAGTAGATGCTCAGTTCATGGGGACTTAATGTATTGAGGTTCACGATCAAAGAAGGTGGTATGTCCTATTTAATTGGATCATGTTCACAGGGGCGGTTGGGGGATTAGCCCATAGCCCATGCATCAGAACTACCTGGATAGCGAGAGAAAGCTATACCCAGAAGCAGTTACAGGTTGTGTTTCCTTATGGATTAAAATAAGAGGGAAATTGTGAGGAAATGTATCATAGTTTTTATCAATGTCATCCAAAGCATCACTATCATGTAGAAATATAATGCAAGTCACATCAGTAATTTTAAGTTTTCAAGTAGTTACATAAAAGTAAATACATACAATTCATTTTAATATATTTAACCCATTGTTTCCAAAATATTTCAACATTAATGAATTTTTTAATGAGATCTGTACCTTTTTTTTTGGATACCAAGTCTTCAAACCTAGTGTGTATTTTACACTTAGATCTCAGTTTGGACAAGCCACGTCCAAGCACTCAATAGCCTTCAAGTGCTATCGTATGAATAGTGTGTGTCTAAAGTAATTTGGAGCTAAAGCATACACTCCTGGGAGTCTCATTCTGCCCAAACTTAAACTTTACGTTCTGCATGTGCAATTTTGAAAATATGATCTCCAAAAACTTGTCCTAGATCACCTGTCTGGTACAGAAAGCTATCCCTGGGCAAAAAAGAAAGTGATTGATTTGTAGAGATTGTTACAATCCTGAGAGGGGAAGATTAGGCACAGTCAAATGCATGCCACATGCCCTAGTAAGCAATATTAGATAATGAGTGTGGTCATGGACTCAGCCAGTGAGACGTTTCAGGGTGGATACAGAATAATGTAAGGCAGATAAGGAACCTATCTGTATGAAGTAAACAAGCATTGAATTATAATACATGTGGCAGAGGAAAAATACCGAGTGAGAATGAGTATTTAACAGGGATTCTTAACCTACTTTATTAAGAAGCAAGGTGGAGATGGGTAAAGGAAGCCTTCTCAGAGGTATGGCATTTAAGCTGAGGCTTGAAGGATAGGTGGACATTGAATATGGGATGAGGCAGAGGACATTCGAGGGAAGAGAATGGTAAAGATACTGAGATAAAGGCTTGGAGTCTCCAGTACACTGAGAAGAAGCAGCTGGTAATATGGAGGCCATGTGACAGTGAGAATCAACCAAACCAGCCACTTGGTGGTGGGTCAGCTCTGCCTCAGGGACCCCCTACATTTTACCTAGGACAGGGCAGAACTGCCCTGTAGGGGTTTCAAGACTCATCTTGAGGGCAGCAGATGGTCACGTCTTTCTCCTGTGAAGTGACTGATAGGCTCAAACCACTGACCAGTGAGTGGCCCAGGGTTTAACCACTCCTTAGCAATAAGAATAATCTATTGAGTGTTTGCTAAGTACGGTTTTATTCTCACAAAACCCCCTTGAGATAGACACCTATTATCATCCCGGTTTCACAGATGAGGAAACCAAGAGTTTAAGGAACTTGACCGAGGCCAGATAACTAATAAGCAACGGGCCCAGCATTTGCTTCTAGTCACTGGCCCTTGGGTGTATGCTCTCAACTGAGGGAGAGACTGCTGAGAGAGAAGACTGGAAAAGAAATTTCAGGTTGGCACTGTATAGTGTTTAAAGAGTTCTCAGACAGTTTGGGGGGTGGGGGGAAATCCCTATTATTTCATGTGAGCCTCCTAACAAAAGGGTTGGCTAAAGCTCAGACCTGAATCACAAGAGGAACAAATGCAGAAGCCACAAAGATGGGCAATGTTTCATTCAACCTGGTATACATGGCATGCAGCACAGTACCTGATCATGTTTAGTTCACCCTCATGTCAATGGTATGTAGGGCTCAATAAATGCCCCGAAGAATGAGAGGCTTCCTCTGTCGTCCTTCCAGCTATCTTGTTTAATTGCAGCAACATCTCTATGAAGTTGCTGTTTCCATTTATATCGTACCAGTGAAGAAATTAAGGCCTGTAAAAATTAAGCAACTTGTCCAAGGCCACCTAGCTATAAATAACACAACCAAATTTGAATCCAGGTGTCGACTCCAAAACCCTGCTTTGACATCTTTGGTGGAGTGCCTATTGTGTAATGCACTTCAGACTCCAAAGGATTGAGAAGTTGGGGGGTCAGGGCTCTAGGAGAGCGTGGGTGCTGTGAGAGTACAACTAATTTAGGGGTTCTGACCACCAACTGCTTCAAGAGAGCGTGGCAAAGCAATCTACTACACCCATGAAGAGTTACAGTAATAGAAAAAAGAGTTCTGGTCTTGGAAACCCACAGGCGCAGTTCTACCCTGTCCTGTGGGTTCCCTTCTGAGTGAGAACTGATTTTGGATTGAAACATTAATATGAGGACTTGGGGAGTTTGCTAAATGCAGCTCCCCGGGCCCCATTAGCTCTTACTCAGTTGGTCAGGAGTGGTGCACAGAAATCTGCATTTTAATAAGCGTCTCATGATTCCGCTACCTTTTAGACTGCTAATCACAAGATGGGCAGTTCAAACCCACCAGTGGCTCCGCTTGGGGAGAAAGAAAGAAGCTGTCTGCTGCCAGAAACATTTGCAGTTTCTGAAGGAGCATCTCCGCTCTGAGCCCCAGGGCGATGTGAGGCAGGAAGCACCTGCTAACAATGGATTTGCTCAGGTGACTGATGAACCAACCCACTGGTCACCATTCTGGCTGCTTTTAGATCACTTCTTAAGTCTTCTGGTTCTAATAAATTACATCTTAAATATAAAGGGAACTTAGAGATGCTGTTTAGAAATGTAGTTGTTGAAAGAATCATGTACCCGGGGACTCTTGCTAGGAAGTTGGATCTCTGGAGAGTAGATTCTGTAACAACCGAATGATGAGCTAGACTTCAGTATCGCTGGAGACCAGTCGTTCAAAATAACTCCTGAGACAAGGTGGCGAGATGGAAACTGCCCAGGAGTGGGATTCGGCAGCCTGCTAACACTGAGAGGGTCCTGGGGGTATGATGGCTGCGGTCCTCAAGCTCAGCAGGGGAACCGCCAGCTGCTCCCCAGGAGTCAGGCTTTCTACAGCCGGGAAGAGTCTTGGAAACCCCCAGGGGCACTTCTCCCTGTCCTCTAAGGTCGGTCACCAGGCGTTGCAGTCACTCAACGGCAGTGAGTTTGGTTTTATTAACACCCTGAAGAAAGGTTTTAAATGGCGCAGTTCTTGTCTGTATCTGTCATCTGACTTCCTCATCTAGGAAACCTTGCTCAAGCTTCTGTGTCACGTTCTCTTAAGATCCTAGCCAGGGTCGGGTTTCTTTGTTTCATGCTGTTACATGCGCAACACGTCAATCTGGAGAACTTGATTCAGCTTGCAGGACAATAATTAGAATCTGTATTTGATTAATGTTTTTCTTATTATAAGCCAAATTTTATGATAACACAGCGCCCGTTTTCCTTTGTGTCTTTAGGACCTAGACTAGCACATACCAGCTCCATAAATGTAGTGACTGGATGAGTGAGTGCACACTCACATGGACCTTATTGAACTTGGATAAGGACTTGATGGCGTCCTGATCACATGAGCAGGAAAAGGAAGCCGGGAAGAGACTTCCTAGGAGACACTGCCATGCTAAGCTTTACAATAGCATAATGAACTGGGTTTCTGACCAAT